ATCACATATATATATATATATATATATATATATATATATAATTTATTTTTATTTTTTTAATTGTTGGTCTATGCACCAGACAAAGTTAAACGGTTTTCTGAAAACGGTTAAAAACTGTTCAACTGTAAACATTGAGACTGCCCGTGTGTTGTTTCATTCTGTTTGCAACGAAACAAACATGCTTGTTGCATTCTACTAGTTGAAACATTTCCAGTGATATATGACATGACTGATATGATCTGATCTGTGTGAGGTTGAGCCCATCACTTCTCACTGCCAGTGAGTCACGTCTATAAGAGCGTGTCCTTGCCACTGGCATTGTTCAGAAAGAGAGAGAGTTTTATGAGGGAGGAGAGAAGAGATGAGACTATCATCTACCTCGGGGGCCATTTCTGGATATTTTCTGCCTTTACTCTTCCCCAGACACTTAGGACGCCCACCTTCCAACCTCTGACACCAGAATCCTTTACCCTCATCAAAGCTGCAATACACAGATAACACACAAACACACAGTTTTATATAAGAAACATGTTCAGGTTATTCACAGCTATAGTGTTCATCAACAGAGTGAGGTGAACAGTGGGACTCACACGAGAGCCTGGGTGTAATTGAAGATGGGTGTGACCCCCAGGAACTGCTGGATGCCGTCCATCACCAGGGCTGGGTTAGATCGGAGCAGGGTACCATCTACAATATGGAGCTAATGTGGAGGAGTGTCGAAAAAAAAAGAGAGAGTTCAGAAAACAAATAGCAATGCTAATTTTGAAAAATTTTACTAAGAAAAATTTTGTTGGTAATAAATGCTATACTGGCAAAGTAAGCAGTGGTGTTGTTGTGAACTAAAAATAAAGCTGGAATAAAATAATATATAAATATTAGATGAAAAACATATTATAAATGGTGCCTTGTCAAATAACCAAAATGAAATCGTCGAATTACTGAAATAAATTAAAAAGCTAAATGAAAAAGACAAGCACATAAAATAAAATGCATTAAAAAAGTACATATATATATATTTAAATAAAAGCCACATTCAAACCTACAGATTTCAAATGCATTTGCCCTGATAGTTGTTAAAACACATCAAAAACAAGAAAAGGCAATCATACGGAGATAACTGCAGTACCTGTCTGGCCTGGTAGTGCACAAGCCAGTGCTCTAGATGTGTGGCGTAAGTCCCAGGCTTAAGGCTGCGGTTCTGAAGGGTCAACAGCTCTTTAGATGCAGACGGACCTGCTGTTACAACCTCGTGGAAGGTGTGGTTAATGGCAACAGGGTCCTGGTGTGCTCGCTGGTGCTGACAAGACATTAAAAAACACACACAACTCATGTCATAATTTCTATGGTGAAAGAGAAGGGTTCATGGTTAAGATAAATGCTATCTGGCTAGGCCAAAGCTTCAGACAAGAACCTCTACTTTCTGCAGTCCATATATGGGCTGCCCTATTAATGCACAAAACGACCTCACGAAATTAATGCATGAAATTGCCTCAAAAGTCTACGTCTACCACGAAGACGTGTTTTTCAGTAAGTAATTCAGTGATATGTCTCAGGTAATGGGGATATTTTCTGAGTGCCACTCCATTAAAGGGGTCATATGATGTTGCTAAAAAGAACATTATTTTGTGTATTTGATGTAATGAAATGTGTTTATGCAGTTTAAGGTTCAAAAAACACATTATTTTCCACATACTGTACATTATTGTTTCTCCTCTATGCCCCGCCTTTCTGAAACGCGTCGATTTTTACAAAGCTCATCGGTCTGAAAAGCGAGGTGTGCTCTGATTGGCCAGCTATCCAGTGCGTTGTGATTGGCCGAATACCTCAAGCATGTGACGCAAATGTTACGCCCTTACCATACTGTGATGCCTTGTCAAGGCGCGACGAGACAAAAACATTAAAATCCATTATAAACGAGGCATTTGTTGCATCCAGTGGAGACATAATTACAGATTATAATGACTTATACTGTCTTTTTACG